CACATCATATCATGATATGCATGCTCCGATGCATACACAAATTTACAATGAGATTCTAAATCCTTGACGCAGGATGAGCAGCTGCAGGCGGCTACGGCTACAGGGTTCTTTTGTGTGAACTCTCCAACCTGAAAGGGACCCGAAAGAAACCACCAACAATCTCTCCTTTAGACTGCTGATGAATCTCTCCGAATGTTTGCACAGCAAGCCACTTTCTCCATTTTCTGTGTGCATTGCATGCTTCATTGGCCTCCGACTGAGGCTTCTTCATGGATGTGAAGCAGCTTGTTTGCTTTGTGCAGAGATGCCAAAATATGACATGCCCCTGGCCCCTGCTTAAATAATTAGATGTGCAATGTGGATAGTAGAATGATGGCGCGAGTAAGCATTTCCCGCCGTCGCCCTCTACATTGTTCAGGATCAGACCGACTCATACCGACTCATACCGACATGAGACGTGTGATGTTGGTATTTCCACAGATCAAATTCCGCCGTGAGACCTCTGAGTTTCTGAGGTGTCCAGGCTGCTTGCAGATTACCACCGTCTTCAGTCATGCTCAGACGGTCGTGCTCTGTGGGAGACTTTCCGGGGTATTGGCAATCTTGAGAGTCCTTCACTAAGACTATGTAGTGCATACTAGTGCGGTGGTGACTAGGACCAGGAGGTTGAATGCGCAAATAATCTTGGAAGATTGCTCGGGTGATTGTGTTGTTGCAAGCATTTGCTGCTTGGCATGCTTGTCTTGAGTGACTAGCTACCGTATTAAATTTGTATTATATATTACCACGTATGTGGCTATTTAGTTTCCTTCTGTTGGCAGCTAGCATCCGTCCCATATTGAGCTCCAATCAATCGTGCAAATTGCGCATCACCCTGGCAGATTTCAAAGCTGAGATCCATTTTGTCTTATCGATTGTGCACACCGTACACCGTACACATATACCACAATGTCACCTATTGGGTTTGAGAGGATTGGCAAGCAAACACTTTAGGCGCGTGCAGTACGATTTATGTTTGAGAGCTTAACATTTGCATGCATTCATCCCATGAATGTGTGTAAATGCTTCCTATGTGCCTAGACAGATAGGACTTTGCATCCGAAAGAAGTGCTAAGGAACTGCAACCAGATGCTCTGCCAACCCACTGGCGGTCTTGCCCGACTCACCGAGGGATGCTCTTTCCGTCGCAAGGACGGCTGGGTCGAAGGGTCAACTGATGCATCTTCCTTGTGCGACAGGTATAGGAATTGGCCGAGAAAAACAGCCGTACCCTGGTTTTGTTCTACTTCACACTGTTTGGGGTCTCTTCCTGGGAAAGCTAAGGGTCTTAGTCTGTTTCTCTAAGGGTCTTGTCCACTCCGCTTTGTCTGGAGGCGGACTGAGCCAGTGGTGAGATGCCTTGGCAATTGCGAGCTAGGGCAACTCGCAGCTGGCGATTGTTGTCTTGGTGCACAGGGCCGCTTTTGAGTAGCTCATGCAAAGGTGTTTGAAACAAGGTGATACTGTATCGATTACTGTGCCTGTGCAGTTTGTAGTTCAGGAAATCGGTTGAAGCAGCACCTTTGGCATAGGGGAACTTCCCTCGGCACAAATTTGTGAAGGACAATGCTCAAACTTGGCAAGTTCATCAGGTCATAAGTCAAGAAGTGCCGGGGGAGTTCGGGATCCAGAGACATGTTGTGTCAGACCAGTTGTGCGGCTCGGCCGTCCGGCGTGGCAAGCTGAGCGTTGAGATTCAAGTAGGCCTCAGTTTTGTCGAGGAAGCGCAGCTATGCAGAATCAGCGCATCTGCCGGCTATAACCTACGTAGAAACACAGATCGACAGCACTTGTGCCTGCGTCGTCGGAACAAAAACTGCGCACATCTACAAATCCTCAAGAGCTTTGCGGTGCTGTGCTTAAGTAGAGCAACTGAACTCTGCTTTCACAATTTCAAGATGATACCTCAGAGCTTATACTGGTGGACGATGTAGTGCGTTCCTCATCTTTTTCCACAACATATTAAATTTCATCACTTTACCGCAAATTATGTTTGCACTTACCCCTTCTGTTCTTGTGTAGTGTGGCATTCAGTCTTCGTTGGACTACTTGGCAGTTGAAGTCATTGACTGGGATAGACATACCCGAGGCTGAATGGACAACGGGACAACGCTGCAATTTTTTTGGGTTTTACATCCGGTTTTTGACGTTTTCGATGGTTCTTTGTTCGGAGTCGACTCCAAGGTGTTCAATCGGTTCACTTTTGAGGCTTTAAAGCTCAGTGAAGCTCCACCGCCACCTCCGGAGGCTGAGCTTCACTCTCAACAGCCATGTGCATCCCCCAAGGCCACTTAACTAACTTGCGAAGTACGGATCACACAGCACACATGATTATGATAATTCCTTTCACCGCGCCTACAGGCCACAAGACCGGACCTGGAACAGAGATTTGATTTGAGAGCAATTACGATGTAGACACAAACACAACACACTTAATTACTTATATGGCAGTGATCCGATGATTGTAGTGATGGAGCAACCCATTGTTCTCTCCTTTGTACGTTCTTTCAATAGAAGATTCCAAATACTCATCAAGCCATTCCCATTCAGGCAGTGCGAAGACCCCCACTGGAGGTGCAGATTGAAAAGCATTCTTGAAAGAAGTGAAGTGCATTGGAATGATATAGGAGGTCACTGACATGTTGAGTTTTTGTTCCAGACAACTGGAAGCTATGAACACCTGCGACCGTGGCAAAGCTCTCGTCCCGTTCTGAAGGATCCATCTGGAGCAGCGAGGCATGTTGTGCGTCAAGACGGGAGTTTGGGCAACATTGCCCTGGGGATCCCTGGGGTGACCTTGGTGTTTCTTGAACCAATCGCCAGCAAACATGACACAGGAATTTCCATTTTTTTGTTTTATTTGGTCATCAACAATGGAATTTGTTTTAAAGTTTGAAGGGCAGACAGAGTTTTGAAATTATCATAAACAGATGTGGGCTTGCCGACACTCTTGCTCCAAGTGCTCTTTGCAGGGCCGACCTTCCAGAGCTTGGAACAAAACCTCTTCCTCCAAAGGCGCCTGGGAGAATATTGGACATGTCCTCAATCGGATGTGGACCAGACATCGACTCTGCAAACACTAAATACAGACTGACAGTATAGATATGCCAAGTGGCGGATTGGTCCTGTGGTTTGGACGTAGATGGCCCAGATGGCGGATTCTACGGACCAAGCCACTTGCTTCTTCTTTGTTTCTTTGGCCGCACGTTTGATCAATCCTTGCACATGTGACTGTACAAAACAACTTTCGATGATATCTTTGGTCAGATCGTGCTCCGACTTCTCTTACCAAATCCATTGCATTCAAAGGGTTGAAGCAGACTGGCTGTCTCCTGTGCAGCGCGGCATGCCCAGACCGCCACCTCCAGGTGGGGCAGGGGTAGGAATCATGACCATCTCAATCAATTTAGATTTCATAGGATACCATCCAGCAGGAATCAGTGGAGCTTGCATCCGCAATTTGCATGGATGGCTTTCGTTGCAGAGCTGAGGCAGAGAGCAAAAGGTGTTCTTAAAAGCTCCAAAGCAAAGTGTTGTTTGTTTGATATAGTTTTCATATCTTGATCCAAATTTGAAGTGCCAGTGTTCCAAGAATTGACCATCACGTAGGGAATGTACAGTGGAGTGGAAGACGCTCCAGAGTTGCCTGCTGATTTTCTGGACAGATTAAGCGATTCTGGACAGATTGTGTTCAGTACATTGATATGTCTCCATACCGTAACCGCCGTATGCCACAACGTAGTCTTAGTGCTCCAGTTGGCGGCCTCTCCGCATCCAACTGGCGGAGCAACAAGATCGTGGAAACGGAACAAGTCCCTTGGCTGCGGTTCATTCACTTGAGTTCAGTCGTTTCTTTTTTTCTCAGGAAATGACCTCCTGAACTCAAGTCTTTCATGCAATTGACCATGTCAGCCTGCTTGAGGATAGTTTAGATTAGTTTAGGCGTCGCTGAGTTCCGTCCAGGCTGGCCCAATGTCCAGCAGCCGTGCACGTCAGTGGCCTCAACACTCTTCAGGGCTGGCTGTAAAGATTCTGAGCCCTTCAGATCTCCTCGAGGAGGCTTCTGGCAGGGAATCCAGGCAACAGAGGTTCAGTGAAGGCTAATACCATCGCCAGACCTAGGTACAGCAGTGGAGATGAACGAGGATGTTCAGGTCCAATTTGTTGCCAGCTGATGCCAATTGATATTGCGTCGTGGAACTCATGGGCTTTCAATATGTATTACAAATATATACACGTATAAGATAAGGTGAGCCTTGTGGAAGGTGTTTCAATGCATGTTTGTTTGGGACGATGATTGGGGGTAGAATGGTTCGACCTTCCTTCCAAGGCTTCCTTTAATACAGTGAGCCCTTGTTGGGCCCTTTGAGTTTTGATTCTGGAAGTGACACTGTATTAGAATTCTCATTAAATTCTTATTGTTACTAGTAAGGCACTTGTTACTAGTAGCGTGGCACTTGTTACTACTAGTAAGGCACTTGTTACTAGTAGTTGTAGGTCTAGCCCTTGGCTCAATTCTTTCAGACCAGATTACCATGTGGTAAATGGGATGACTTGTCCAATTGAGGCCGTTTCTCACGCCGATGAGGTGGTCTTAGCACGTGCACGTGGTGCACTCCTCCGACGGCCACGTGCCAAGGGCAATTGGGTTCAGGCGCCGAGCCAGAGCTGGCAGAACTGGAGCAACTTCCCCTGACGTGTTGTGTTTTGTGCCTTAATAAAGGCATTGTAGGGTCCCTAGACCTGTGAGCCAGGCTATGCCATAAAGGGAACCCAAAGGAGAAGTATATTGGCTTGTAGCAACCAACATAGACTTGTGACGGGTGTCAAGTTTTTGATGAAGTGGACACCACTGTGGACAATGTTCATTGTTGTATATGTGTGTGAAGATATTTTTCCACGCTTGAAGTTTCACCTGGTCAAGAGGCCTTTGCTCGGCACGACACCACTGGTCTTGGAGAGCTTAGTCCAGATCCTAGGCAGAGATGTGAAGTCTTGCCAGACCCAAGATGCTGGCAATGTACACACTGCACTTCCAAAGGAATTTGACACGACAAGGGACTACCATGTATACTCTTTCCTGAGCATAGATTGCAAGCAGAGCTCTTGTGGGCAGCTATCAGCCAGCCAGAGCCTTGATCAGTTTGGCCAGAGCGTTGAGGTGTGGAGCAATTCGCTTTTTTTCTCCAATCCCTATCTGTGGGTCTGAGCTTGCATGAGGCACGCAGTGCATACTGATAGGAAGAGCAAGATTTGGTTTGAACTTGCCTGTACTTGTGCCAGCATGCTGCATCAACTTAGACACCACTGCTGCAACTGCCTCCAGAGACACTGACCATGTTTCAAATTCCTGTCGTTTTGGAGCTTCTGGGACTGCGGGGGCTTATTCCTGATTCCGGAAAATTTGGCCGAAAATTTGGCCCAAACTCAAAGGGCTTGGCCTTGGCAAAAGAGCCTTGGCTTCTGCTGCAGGTGCGGAAACGGGTCGGGAACGTGAGGCACTGAACGCAGAGTGCTCGAAACTATTATGCTGTCAGGCCATGCTCGCAGCGGACAAGCTCCTGCTGACGAGCACAATCCGAAAAAATGCCACAGAGCTTAAGGGAAAGGAGCTGGCATTGCACAAGGACCGGCAATGACGGAACTGGACAGGCATTTGTCATTTGTCATGAGTGTTTTCTTTTCGGTTGGGAATGACTGAAGTGGAAGAGGTATCATCTCCTTTTCGATATAAAGCAGCAAGTCAGTTTGCCTTTCAGTAAAGCAGCCTCTTATGATACTGTATCTTATGATCATTTACATGCAACGAAGAAAGTTCTGTGACAGCATGCAAATTCTGGGTGGTCAGTATGTCATGCTGGCGCAAAGAGGGTCAAGTTGGGCATATTTCATGCGCAACGTTGGAGGGCAACTTCGATGCGGTGGGCACACAGGCAGCGGTGCTCGCAGGTTTTGCAGCCACTGTGCTCGCAGAAATTCATAAACAGAATGAAACTACAGTAAAAACAACAGTAAGGGCTCCTCATGAAGACCCTCACGGCCCCCTTTTTCCACGTTTTGTTTCTTGTGTATTGTATAATTATGAATCGTTTTTCCTGAACGTCCAGTCACCGTCATGGATCCTTGGTCAGAGCACTACCCAAGTCACGCTGTTGGGAAGGCATTGTGCAATGCGTCAATTGCCAATTTTTTGGCATGCAGGTTCGATGTAGGTCGCTATTCCCAAATGAATGGGTTATAACGGGTTATACCATTTGCAATGGAACCATCCAAGTCTGCTTTGCATTTTGGGAATCTTCATGTGTTTGAGAGCAGGTGTTATGGTGTTGCCCCTGTGAAATTTGCCCTTGCCTTTTAATCTAGAGAGAGCACGCTGTCACAAGATTATCAGAGGCTAAATTCTCCAGGTGTTGGGCGATTGTGATTGATGAGGTTGTTATGGTGGTGGAGTTCCACATGCCAGAGGAAGCACACTTTGCCCTGCAAGGCATTTACTATGTCTTTGCCGTCATCACGTGTCTTGACGGCCAGTGGACAATTCACGAAGCTCAAGTTGGTTGGATGCTGCTAACACACCAAATCGTGGTGACAGGAGCAAACATGCTGCCAAAAAGAGTCAGTGACTTGTTTGCTTCCGCTGTTGTGCGCAATAATGTTGGATCTTGATTAGCAAAAACAAGCAAAAACACCCCGCCTAGCAAACAATTCAGGGGGTCTGAAGAGTATCCAGGGGGTCGTAGTCGTAGTAGTAGTAGTAGTAGTAGTAGTAGTAGTAGTAGTAGTAGTCGTAGTAGTAGTCGTAGTAGTCGTAGTCGTAGTAGCAGTAGTAGTAGTCGTAGTAGTAGAAGAGACAAGTAAGGATTTGAAAGGGCCGCAATAGCAGAACAGCAGACAAGCAAACAAAGCCAAAAAAACCCTGGGTGAAAAGAGACTTTATATTATTCCGTCCCATTAAACTAATAATCAGGGTGTGTGAATAATTTGGCGAAACATTTTTGTTATTCCGTCCCATTATGTTAATTAGGATGCAACATTAACTTAGAGCAATCAACTGTAGAAGCTAGGAATATCAGAGGCCATTCACACACATTGTTGTGTTTGTAAGCAGAGGGATAGTGGATGTACAGGGCACCTGATTAGTATAGGTACCTAACACTGACTCCCACTCACTTGATGACTCGGCTCAGGCTGGTCGCCAACCTCAGATGTGCGGAGAGCTCAGATGGAAGGAATTTTCATTAGGGTGCGGGTGCGTTGCACTATTTCATTTGGTGCACTGTCGGCTAGGTGGCCATGACCACGTGCATCACAGTGATGGGAACTGGATTGGCCTTACGGGGCCCAGACGGCTCCATGGTGCGTGCTGTTGAAGGGATGTACAAGCAGAGAGCCATCGTTTTTAGGCCAGAGTCTCAAATCTGACTTGGAAAGACAACGGCTTCAGAGCTTCAGACAAAGGTGGGTAAGTTTGAGACCCCAAGAAAGGCCCAAAGGGGAAACTCGAGCAATTTCTAAGATACATCGTGTGGGTGTATAGTTGTTGTGTTGAATGCGTTTCTTTCAAACCCGATGAAGTGTTGAAGGTCCTTCGGCGCCGGCATTGTCTCTTGTTGCCTCAGCGTGGCGGTGATCGCTTGGATCAAGCCACTGAGATAAATGACGGTCACTGGACATTCATTGCCAATAGCTGCCATATCTTTTGAGGTGCGTCTAGAGAGGGGTGCAAACTCGACCCTTGTGAGGAATTTCATGTCAGTCTAAAGATGCAAGGTTGCATGTCTAAGCACCTTTTCTGGGTCTCTTCGATGCTCCAAACCGTCGATTTTCGTATTCTTTCCATGTTTTCATTGCCTGACCATTGCATGCTGCGACTGGGCAAGTTGTTTCATGTTGTGAGTTTAACCTGCTCTGTGGGTCCAACAAGTCCGTGTGTTCTGATCCTGTTTTATCCCATGCCCGTCAAGTCATTCATTTCCACCAACAATTGATCTATTTGCGGAGCCCATGACAATTCAGATGTTGCCAAGGTGTTTGATTCCTGGGGCGAAAGCTTCAGGGTTTTTGCTTGGATGATGACTGATCTACGTTTTGTTTTCTGTGTTCAGGATGGACGCCATCCCTGCTGCCATTTGCACTGGCGCCATTGCATGGACACTATTTTCAATAGCTCCTCTCTGGCACTTATATATCTCAAGCTTCTTAGTGCTCACCCTTCTCTATTGGGCTGCTTCCATCTACCAGCAAATCAGACTCCTTCAATGTCCGATGAATTGCAGGCAAAGTACACTAATTTCTACATGGAGTTCTTCAAATTCAATGAGGATGAGGCTCTTCCAAGCATTGATTGAACTGTTGCAGCAGAGTGTTTGAAGTAACCCGTGCATCACAACACCATTCCAAGCTGAGCGTGGAGGTGGTCAGCTTGGATGACATTCTGGGAGCAGATCTGGTGAACAAGGAAGCCATCGTCAAGCAGCCGCCAAGCTGCACTGGACGTGCTAACTGGTATATGACTTGTGATCTTGTGAACTAACTTGCAGGCATGCAGATTGGTTCAGAGTTCAGGATACGTATACTAAATTTTACATCCGAATACACAAGTTTGATTTTTGGTAAACCAAGTAGTCGTTGCCTCCCTTGTTTAACAGGTGAGAACTGCCTGAGCAAGCAAACATTCCTACATGGGACCCAGTGACCTAGGGGGATACTTTGGAGAGAAGAAAAAGACAGGAAGAAAGGTAAGGCTTCCTTAATAAGGAGGCCTAATATAACTTATACTTATATACTTTTTTCCTCAAGCCATAGTCACTTCATCAAATCGAGCTTGTTGCTGAGCCACTTTACCTACGGATACACTCACTGCGACGCTTCCCATGGACATGCCAATATGCCCGCTGGTTTGCCACTGTTTGCTCACAGAAGCAGAGTGTGAACGCGATGTTATACTGGCATTTTTCTTCGTCCGCTCAGCAGTGTGATTGCTGTTTTATCCGTACATTTGCCGCGCTTTTTCCTTTGCTACCCTAAATCGAACGCTTGCTTTTGAGCTTCCTACTATGAAGTCAAGATGAAATGAGTCCTACAAGAACAACTATAATGTGCTCCGTTAGGAGGTTTCAATGTGCAAAAGACATCCCAAAACTGCCAAACCAGGTACCTCCCCAGTTTGTTGGTGCAGGCTGGGCGTTGGCAGCGACACTTTGGTGCGGCTGCTGGGCTCATTGACCCAGACCCGGCGAGAACACACGCCGGACACGGACGTCTGAGCGGCTAAGCAGTGGTTTGTGTGGCTGGTGTGGGATGCCTACATGACCCGGAGGTGGGCGCACACTCGGGCAGTCACCAGTAGGTCTGCAGGTCCTTTTTGAGCTTTTGAGGTAGGCATCCTGCGAGAGCTGTTTCATTTCAGTTTCCGAGCATGGCACAAGCTTCTAATTGCACAACTCCCAGTTTCACGGGCATTGAAATTGAGGCTGAAAATTTTGCCAGTTGAATCAAGTTCCCTGGTGCAAATCAAGCACCAAGAGTGTTGAGGCGAATTCTTATCAGAGGGGATGTACATCGGGTGTTCAATGGTCAAGATCCGTGGCAATGAGACCTCTCTTTGCCAAATCACAGCTAGACAGATTGATGCTGCTTTGTTTCAACACGGGTAAATATATGTGGCTGAGAGATGAGGGCCAGCGAGCATCCAATGCCTCTGGTTTTTCTGCACGATTGATCGGCCTCATAATGGAGGGCCGTGGCAAGCACGGCCTATATAGTGAGGCTTGGCAAAGCCAAGCCCTTTAGGGTCAACTCCGCTCCTTTTACTCCCCATTTTCCTAGCCAAGTGGTTTGCTACTCAAAGGATCGAACGGGGGCGAAAGGAGATCAGAGCACCACGAGCAAGCACCCAGATGAGTGAAGGATGTCGAGCAAAGACAAAGCGTCCTTTTGCCATTAGAAGCGCTCTGGTACTAAGAGTAGCTTGCTTGTTGAATAGTTTCTTGCTCATTTCTATCTTGTTAATCTTGTTTCGTTGAACAATGCCTGTGCTCCAACAACATCTACTGTAAGGAAAGCAGAATGCTCCACTCTGTCCTTAGTGTATTCCAAGCTCCTCTTCTTGAACCAATTTGACAGGTGGATGCCATAGTCACATGTTTGTTGGGCGACCGGCCTGGAACTCAGTTTCAAATCGGCTGGTGCACTGGGTCTTGCACATGAATAGCCAATGATCGGACTTTTCTATACTTGTCACTTCGAGCACTTTGTTCGGCTGGTTTGTTTCTGCTCCTCATTGAACATCGAAGTCAAAAAGGCTGAGGACAGTTTTCCGCACTTCTCTTGCGGCAGACCTTCCGAGGTCCACCATCTCCTTGTTCGTTTTTGGTGAGGCAATCGGTTTCTTCTTTGATCAATCCGATGTGACACCATGCCACAATGAAATTGATGTTACTTCGAAGAAATAATACAAACATGGCATAACATTGCCATTTTGCCTATGGAACATGAATGGGTGTTCACCGTGTTCACCTCAATGGCAAAGCCACTTCTTTGTGGTTGATTGGCTGCAATCAGGCCATCGAGCACGCATCACCCAGATACGAATTTGAGATGTGGCAATTGGCCAACCAACTTACAGGACATGGGCTCAGTCACATCAGTTTGGAAGCAGATCGGAGCAGACATTAAACAGAAGAAACATGAAGAAACACAACAATACAGTGGGAACATCTCCAGCAAATTTGATCGGTCCAAAGCTTAGGGTATACACTTGTACACTTGTCCACTCGACCTTGAACATGCTTGAGCAGAGTCTTCAGCAGTTTACTGTGTTTATTACTTATACTATATACTGTATATGGAGTCCGGCCAAAAGTCTATAATCAAAAAAATAGATAAAGGGGTCGAAAGTAGCTTATGATGTTGTTTTTTTCAATTAGATTATGTAGCGGGCCTCCAGCTAAGCACACCTATTCTGCAGCTGGGCGCTAGGTTTGCGGTAGACTTGCGCTAGTGACGCTAGTGTTTGCCTTAGGACATGTTCAGAACGTCGTCAGGTTTTTGAAGTGGCTGGCTGAAAAATGCGCTAGCCGCGCGCTAGCACTGCGCTAGATCCGCGCTGGCAAACATTGCCAGATTCCAGCGTGGACCCTTCCAATGCTGACTTGCAACATGTCTTTTGTTTCAAGCATGGCTTGAAGCTCGGAGATCAGCTGAAAACGGTGCAGCGCTAGTGACGCCTCTTACAATTTGGCGCCAATACTTGTTTGGTCCATGTTTCCTTCAGGATTCATTGACCTGTGCGTGCCAAAAGTAAAGAATATGTAGCGGGCCCCCATGTGAACACGACTTTAAGCCATTTTTGGAAGAAGACACTTCGCCCAGATCCCATATATATGATATATGTATATATTGCTTTGGACCACAGCTCTTTCTAGCCGTCAAGCATCTTTCCATTGTTTTCTCAATTGTATTTGCTTTTTGACAACCAAGGTGCATCCCCCAATGGCTTGCTTGGCTTTTTGGGTTGTAGTCTTGCACAGGCCAGGAGCGAGTGACTTACTGGACCTCAACAACACTGACAGACCTTTTGTTAAATCCGTTTTTGCTCTCCAATATGTTATCGTCGGATATTCTATCTAATCGGAGACTACTATTTTCCAACACCCGCAACATATCACATATTTTGTACACACCATTAACATTGCGGCAAATAACCAAATCAAGACAGTCCAGCAGTCTCACCAAGATGTCATAGCAAAGAACGGCCTTCTTTTCATTGGGCAGTAGCGCTTTGCACGGTTCCCGTTTTTCACGTTCTTTACTACCTAACATTTTCATTGGTGGCGTTCATTCCTAATTTGACGTGTAAAGATTTGATTGTGTCTTGTGCCTTGCTCCCAATGGAATCCCGGAACCACGTATGCAGTCGATCAATCAGGTGTATTGAACATGTATTGTGTTTGCAGCGAATTTCTATGCGTCAGGCGATGGCTACTTTACCAGCTGCTGAAGTGGAGAAATCACAAAGGCGTGCGTCGGAGGTTGATTGATTCAGGTCACAGGTTGTACGGGGCAATTGTCCACGACATTTCTCACATTTACTGATTCTGTCTTGTAGCTTCCCAACATTGAATGCCATAGAGCCGTTATGAGTTGTGTGGGATTGGTGCTGCTAGGAATGGGACAATTGTTCCCTTGACACTGGTCATCACTTGTCTGATCGGCACACCGAGCGGCACCCTTTCCCAAGGCTGCTGCTCTGGTTGCCAAAGCTGTCCGATGGCAATATCGATTGGAACGCCGCCGAGGAGATTCGTTGACCATGTTGAAGAATTGACACCGACAGCATACATATTACATCATCCTGGCGTTTCGAAAGTACCACCAAAAAGGAACAAGTTGAAAAACATGGAAAAACAAGTCTTTTCAATTTTGTTCCTTTTTGGGGTGCAGGTTATATTTTTTTATTTGAATTTGGCGTGTTTGGGGAGTCCCTCCATACTTCTGAAGCGCCTCATGTCATGGGTTTGCTCATGTAGCCGCTTGGAGCTCATAATGCTTGGAAGACTAGTGCATGTTCTACTTGAGCGTAGCAAGCTAATTCATTTGCCAGAAAAAAAGTTAAAGCCTCGAGCTTAATTACTTGATTCGGACACAATAAGTGTGGAATTGCAACTTTGATCACAGTTTGCGGGAAACAAATGTAGCAGAAACTCCCGGAGTTGTAGCGGAATCTCCCGAAGAGAAAATTGGACCTTGAATGCGTACACCAAGTTTCATAGCCTGACTGGGACCGTCTTCGAAACCAACAACATGCAAGCCCGGGCCATCAGTTTATCCTCAACCCTGCGACCTTCATTGTGAAGTTAATGAAGACTTCCTTGGAATAATTTTGAGGATTTCAAGGCGAGAGTCAAGAAACATTTGCAAAAGAAAGCCTGAGGTGAAAACATGACAGTGATTGACTGCAGCATATCTTTCGCGGTCTTCCAATTTTCACTATGACTGCGGTGTTCCCTTTTCATTTTTTTCCATCAAAAGTCCTTTGTTCCTTTTGGAGCGACATGGAGGTTCTAGGATATTACCAGTCTTTGTTGAACCGACAGCATGTGGAATCAACGTAAGTTGAGTTGTTGCTTTCTAGTCTATCTTCAAACAACAGCCCTCGGAATCGTACGGGCTCAGCATCCCAGGCTAGCTCAGAGAGTGTTCGTGCGAGTCTTGATTCTATGCCCTTTACTATCTTGGTAGTATCTTGGCGTACTCTGGGGGACAATTTAAAGAACTTTATATGCGAAGGCTGGTTTGCCGCCTTTCACCTCTCATGTCCTAGCCACTGTCGTTTCAGAGTCACGCATGTAGATTCTACAGTTCTACGCATGAAAACCGCATAGAGGTCAAACCAACATTTGCTAGCAGGAGATTTAGAGCTCTGTTTGATGTTGACATCAAACCCAATAACTATATATATAGCCAAAAAGGATAGATTCAAAGCATCTCAAAAGCTGCGCCGTTGTTTTCGCTGTCGCCACTGTTAGCGACCCCAGAGGAAATCGCGATTTTTTGTGGGGTTGGGTTGGGGTGGGGCGGGGCACGTGAACGTTCGCTTGCACTTACGTCACGAAGTTGATGCTTCGTGGTTTACGTGGGGTGGGGGGGGGGGGGTGGGGTGGGGCATGTTAACGTTCGCTTGCACTTGCGTCACGAAGTTGATGCTTCGTGGTTGATGTGGGGTGGGGTGGGGTGGGGCATGTTAACGTTCGCTTGCACTTGCGTCACGAAGTTGATGCTTCGTGGTTGATGTGGGGTGACGCAAAACGCGTCGATCAATATGTCCGCAGTTTTCAGTTTCGGTGGAACAACAGAGGAATTTTGCTTGAGGCGTTGGCCCCGAACGTGACCGCAAGTGTAAAGAACATACACCTGCAAAACGCGTGTGCGCCAAAAAGGAGTGCACTTTCTGCTCTTCCCCACTCTAAATTCCACGTTACAAGTGCCGTCCATTCTAAAAAATGGGATGAGAGCACATATGATCCAACCTCTCCCGAATGAAAAAAGGAAAAAAATGGGAGGCTTTGAGCACTGTCCACTTCGGCGCTGTGCGAATCGCACAGGGTCACTATTAGCGGCGGTACCTTGTTTTCTCAATACTGAGAGCTCAAAAGGGAATCACGCTTGAAGCGTGATAGCACTTGTTGCTGGCAGGAGTGGAGGAGCAGCTTCAAGTCCGCAAGATAGGGCGGTCTCACTTAGGGCACGGAGTGAGAGGAAAGGCTGGCTTTGGACGGTTTGGATAGATTTTTGTTGAAGCAGTTGAAGCATGATGAATCACTGTGAAGCCTGAGCATCGCTATTTAGACGGTTGAAATAGCTATTTGTCTCATTTGTTTGTAATCACCTGTTCTGTAACAACTTTGCTTCCTGTACAGCTGGAACTTCCCTCTGATGGCCATAGAGAAGATTGGCAACCTTAAGGGGTGCCCATCTGCCGATGAAAGCGCGTGGACGTCACAAAGAACGCTTGGTCATCGCTTTTTCGACCAAAGGCTCTGTAAGGACCGACACAAGGATCTCGCAGCCGACGGTGTCATCAGAAACTGGATGGACTAGTGTTTTTGGCCTTACTACTAGGAACCAAAAACTACTAGCAACAAGAAACTACTAGGAACAAAGGGCATCGCTACTCGGAGCAAGGACGCTACTTGGGGCTCCTGGCCTTACTACTAGGAGCAAGGACGCTACTAGGAACAAAGAATCCACCAAGAAAACTAAACGGTGAGACGCGTGGGTGTTTGCCTCCACAATGTCCGCAGATTCGCGCTTTTCAGTTTTCGGTAGCTTGTGGCACACAGTGCTGCCCCACCTTTGCTATGGTGAATTTTCATGCAAAGCGTCATGTGCGTTGCTATCAGCTTTGGCTATTTACGTGTGGTATGTCCTGTTGTAGGCTCTATTTTGCGGCAACAACTACATTCCTTGGCCTTCACGGCGTTGGGCGTGGCATAAATGATAAGCCATCTAGAAGTGAAAAGACCGCAATGGAGGCTGCAGACCCACGCCTGACACTGCCAAAAGGTGCAATGATAGATACCACTTCAAGCATGTCCCAAATTCCTATTCCGCAAGCAATCGTTCTGTTGCTTTGCGCTGCAATTCCAGTCGGCTATTGGTGGTTTGTAATCGTGCCCTTCAAGCGCAGGGAAGTTGCATCAAGCAAAAAGCGTGGGCCGCTGAAAGTTTATTTGCAGGATTTGGCCGCCACACCGTCTGACGAGCGAAAGCAAGAGAAGTGGTTCTATGACAAATACTTGCGCCAAGGAAAGTTTCTTGAGGCAAAATCTGAAGGCTTGACCGACGTAGTAGAAAAAGTTGAGGATCAGCTGCAAGAGAAGCTTCCTGGAGGTGGATTCTGGAGCTTTGACAATCCAATTTTAGTCTGCCTTGTAGCGTTGAGCTGCTTTTGTGTCCAGCAAATACTGCTGCATGATGTGCTCAACACTTGACAGCATGGCGACGTCAAAGTTGCAGTGCGATCGATCCACAAGAGGGAGTCCAATTGCATGAGTTGCAAGTTTCTTCATGTTTCTTCTAGTTTAGGTTCTTTCAAAATCGATTATATTTGATATACATTTTAGGTTAAGAGACAAAAGAAACGATGAAGCGAACAAGTTCTTTCTGAGACTGCGATTAGTCAAAAAGTTTTTGCTCAAATGCGAGAAGCGAGGGGTAGTTGCGGTACTAGCTAGCATCCCAAATTGGATCCCCACAATACTGTAGTTTGAAGATGATTGAAATTCTCTTCTCCATTCTATGGAAGTGACTTGCTGGTGCCAATGTGGAGGCTCACGGATGCTCATGGGCTGGGAGTGTTTTGTTGCTTTGTGGAGGCTCATGGTGTGGTGGGTCAAGGAGGCTTGTAAGGCAGGCTTGTAGAAAATCATCGCACGACCATAACAACAACACAATGAATCGCTAGCTGCTGATAGCTTGGCAGTTCTTCAGTGCCTTTGCCTTTTCCTTCGTGCAATGCAAAGAGAGCAGCTGGACACCTCTCGGCAGCGGCCTTGGTGTTCTTTGAATTTCAACTGGTAGATTATGTTGGTTTCCGTTCAAATGATATTCACGCCTTGTTCTGGCCAGCAGCAGGCACATGCCACCGCATTTGGCCACTTGGTCTGACAAACAAACACGGATCATCATTTTTTCTACATGGCCACACAGCCGTTGGCTCAACTTCATTTTGCCGATCATACCGTTACATCACTTGGCCCGATGGCAGGCTTTCTGCGTGCCTCCTGGCTGCTGGTGGTGTGCTTTATTTCAAGCTTACCTGTTCGAGGGGAAGACGCTTGCGAAGCTCAGGCCGCTTCCGGGCCGGCGATGCTCCAAAGGCATGCAGAGCGGCAAGTCTTGTCCTCTCAATCCAATTTGACGAATTCCAGCAATGCCACAGACATCATCCGCATGGTCGATGCTTGTTTGCAGCATCGTTTGGTGGCTGCTGGGGGCGATGAGATCCAGCTGGCTCGCTGGGATTTGGTCCGCACTGCTGAGATCTTGTCGAAGCTCTTGGAGGCAAACCTGAGTGTCCAGGCTTTGGGGAGTGATTGGCCGGACGACAAAGCGGTGATTGATGCAGCTCTATTGGCAGGGCGTGATGCTGCTGAAGCCTTGGCAAAGGCAGAATTTGAGGCCGAGGCAGAGAGGATTTTGAGTAGTGCCAATTTGAGTCAAGAAGCGATACAACATTTTACCTCCAAGATCCAAAAGATGGCCGAGATGTGCGGGGATTCCGTGGAAGCTCACTCCCTTGCTGGAGATGAAAAGTCGATCCTGGACACAGACAATATGACACTTGAGGAAGCTCGCATTGCCAAGGACATTGCAGACTATGCGGAAGGCCTTTGCCAGTCTGATGTGTTGGATCTGGACTTCTTCGTGGGTCAATTTGAAGATGAGTCTCCTGAGTGCAGTGCGCTGGTCTCCAGCTCAAAACTGCTCCAGATGGAGAAACATCTCTCAAGCTTGGATTTCTATGCCAAGTCTGCCCTGGTGCTTCACGACAATGAGAACAACTTGGGCCACCACTTTTCGAAGAAGTTGCAGAAGAACTTGGGCCATTCAGAAGTGCAGCTAGAGCCCTTGCTGATGGAGGCTGTTCTGAATCATGGCTCCAGCAAGCCCCGAATGGCTCGGCTGTTGTACCTAGAGCGGCTCTATTACGACAAGGTCCATGGCTTCACAAAGCAACAGTACTGTGAATCAAACTTCCACTTGCGAGAGGAACAACCACAACATTGGATCAGCCAAAGTCAGGAAATCCAAGACTATGTCGACTGTGTGTGCGTGAGCCATCGGCCTGCATTGTGGTGTGATGCCGCTCATGCCGAACCGTTGGCCCTATTGCAGCCGACAGTGGTGCGTCGCTTGCAAGAAGCCGCTCGGAAGGTCAACTCACTGAACTTGATGCAGAGTGGTGCTCCTGTTGGCTTGGGTCCTTGCCAAGATGCTGAGGGCAAACCTGCTGGCTTTGACTGTTCCTTGTGTGTGAATGGGGCCAATTGCATCAGTGCAAGTGGCTCCTTCAGCGTTGATGTCTTTAGCTCCCTGAAGGAACTCTTGGGCCAATCAAGCAACTGCATTTCTGGCTACTGCTCGCCATGCATGGGTGTCAAGCCAGGAGATCCCTTCCAGTTCAAATTAGATCTGGGTGTGGCAGTCTCAAAGTGTGGCAGCACTGCAGATTATTTGGCATCCTTCCACTACTTTGCAGAGCTCAAGATGTGCATTGGGGGTGTTCTGGGTGAAGCTGCTGACCAAATTGGTTGGGCACTTTGCCAATCCCTTGGAAAGTTGGCGTATTATCCCTTCATCAGCAAGCTCCACTTCTCAGTTGGCCTCCCAATACCTTTGCCTCCTCCAATTGGGGTTCGGGCTAGCGCATCTGTAAACTTGAATTTGGGGGACCTCACTTCGGCTGTCTACAACCACTGCTCAACCTTGGGGCCTGCTGCCCACTTCAGATGCCTCGAGGAATTCTTTGCTGCGCGGGGTGTCACAAGTGTGGATTTCAAGATCGAAGTCCTCCTCGGTGTCAGCATTCCTTTCGTCGGCACTGTTGGCAAATGGATCAAGGTGCGGCAGCAAATGGGGTTGGGTGGTTCAGGGTCAAAAATAATACAAAAATATATTAAATATTTGTCCTAATAAATTGGCAAGTCTGACCTCTTCCAATGACCGCAAAACAGTGCAATACTCAGGTGCTGGGCTTTGGCTTTGCCGAGCACGACAACAGCCGCCAGATTGCTATGAACAAAGCCGGTGTGACCATTGTGCACATCGGTGCCAGTCCGTGGCGCCAGATCTGTGGGCGTGCTTTCTCGGGAGTCAGTTGTGAGCCATACGCTGGTGACGGGGACTGCTCGGTTTTCATGTTTCTGAACAAGAAAGAGAATCGAAGGGTGTGAGATATCTAAAAAGTCTAAAGTCAAAGGTCTTGTGAGAGAAGACGTGCTTCACTTCGACATCACTAATCCTCACCTGCAAAACCCTCAGCAGATCTAAAATTGAGAAAGGAATGACACTCGTCCTCGTAGTAGTTCTTTTGTCAACCCACTGTTCAGAAAGACCTAGAAGTCACACAGATGCAAGAATCTAACGCTGTCAGGCTGTTGAGTTTTAACTAGACCGATTCATATCAGCTTGCTTGGCGTACGCTTGTGTCCATCAATATACATGACTAATAAATGTCAAATATGTGTTTTTGCAAAAAAGCATGCTCACAGCAAAACAATAACAAATTAACATGCAACAACAAAGCAAGTTGTTTTGTTGTCGCATTTTAATACTTGTTTCTTTTCCTGGTGCCATTTCTGCACTCACTCACGAGAACCTTTACCAGTCACCAATATTCGCTGTACACTCCTACAGAAAAAGCAACAAAAAGGAGAGTCAAACGAACAACGGGTGTTGCCGTTTGTTTGCTTTACTTCTTTTTCATTTTTTGCTTTACATATTTTATGATCTTTATGTTGGCTCCTTGCTTCTATAGCTGCCTTGGGGAACACCCGCGTACACCCTTCAAACGTGAACAATCTTGGTCACAAGTGGCAAACCATGCCAAGCTGGCCACCCTCGTCAGCTGGTCAATATACAATCATGCACGTGAGATCAAACAGCTGGTGGATGTAATTGTGACAGAGTCACCAGCACGACATGCAAAGCACCTTACTGACACATTGCACTCACATTACTTTTGCATTCTGACATATACTCTAGCATCTCTAAAACAGTCGCGGCCTATCTAGGAGGAGGTAGCGAGGAGGAGGGAGGAGCGATGAGGAGGAGGACATCGCCTTAACAAGGGACAAAGGGGTCTTATGTGTAATTGTTGGGGCAAGAAGCCAACACCCAAGGCAATTGATTGCTTTTTCTTTCGCGTGTGTGGGTTGGACTCATTATTGATTTTCCTGGGACTTAACTCTGGAGGACTACCGGGCCAACCCTGACTGCAGAAGTTGTGGCGATGATTTCAGCATTTGGCGCGCTGATCCTGCCAACAGCCGCTCCGTTTGCATCCGCCGCGATGATCATCACGGAGGCTCGTTGTATGATCTCACCGAGAAGGGCAAAATGTGCCAACTCTAGGGTGAGCCCATGCACTTGTGATTTGGCATGTATTTGTATCATATTTAAGCTTGATACAGTTGTCAACCCTGGCCAATCTTGAGGCTGGGGAATGAACTTGGAGATTGCCTGTCCAGTTGACAACTCGCACACGAAGATCATTGTGCCCATTGGATCCAGCTCCACCAGAACCAAATGTGCCATGCCAAGTGAGCCAGTGACATGTCGTTCAGATGCAGGAAATCAAGGTGTCCGTTTGGGTTTTGACACCCATGGGGATGCCTACAACGTGTACAAGGCCGGACAATTAGCTTTGATTCGAGAGGCACTTTCACTTGATATGTTGTCATAATGTTTTCATGATGTGTTTTCCCTTGTGCCCTGAGTTTGCTCTTCCCGGTGGTTTTGATCATTCAGGACCACCAATCAGAGAGATGGTGTGCATATAGGACAGATCATAGTGGTGGCTGGGGGCAGGACTTGCAGCTTGAATGTGATCCAACAGGTGGAGCGCAGTCATACTCGGTGTCAACCGTTCACATTGGCAACAGTGATTCAAATCTGCGGTGCGTACTAGCCAGTCACGAATATTCTTGCGATGCCTTTGCCGGTGACGGCCACTATCGTGTCAACGACGACTGCCGCCATTGCGGCGATTCCTTCTACATCAGTGTCAACGATGGCTATGTGTGCGCAGATCGGACCGATTATCATGGTGGCTGGGGCTTGGATCTCAAAATCTCGTGCAAAAATTATGGCTTTGTCCGTGAAACTGTGGAGATCAACATGGGCTCAAGCGGTTCAAATGAGAAGTGCATCGTGGCCCCCAAGCCAGTGATGTGTGCTTCATATGCAGCCAACAGAGGCTATCGCCGGAACAATGACAACTATGGGGATGCGTTCTCAATCCGGACCTACGACCATGGAGGATTTCATGTGTGTACAAGGAGGACTGATTACCATGGTGGCTGGGGAATGCATTTGAAGTTCACCTGCGTGGCTACTTGAGCCGCGGAACCGAATGCCTGTCCTGTGGTAGCCAAATGTGCGGATCGGAGCGGTGCCTAATTAGCTTCGTGGTGTTTGCTATCTGACTCTTTTATCTTTTGTGGCCGACCGATACAGAAAACTGAGGTTTCCACATGTGAAGTGGGGGCAGACCAAGGACAAAGTCTTCGTGACATTTGTGGTGGGAATCTCAGATGGGAGAAGGGCCAGAAGTGGCTGTGTGGGCCTCAAGAATTGTCAGCAATTCCGACCCGAAGCGATTGAACAAGAACCCGCTGACTCACTGGATTTCTGCAGAATACTGTAATAAACTTAAACCTGCCAACGAACTGGCACAGTGCCAGACTGATGCCTGAAAGCTACGAAACACATGGCAAAACATGGTAAAACTATAATTCTAGCCTGTCATCCAGATGCCGATGGATTCTACTTGCTGGAACCATGATTGGACAACCAATAGGCACACATTAGGCCCATAGTATGCCCATAAGGAGTTTCTTCAAATTTGAACATCATCACACCGAAGCTGGGCTCGAACTTGTAGATGTCATAAATAATATACACATACATATTACATATATAATATACGCACTTACAGTACATATCATACATGCATCTCTATGTGTTCCACACTGTTGATTTCCTTCAAACCTGAAGCCCCTTTTTCGTCCCTTTTTGGCTCCAGCCCTTGAGGTCCGAGACTTGGATCCAAGCTCCTTGAGTCGCCTGGCGATATGGATCGACATGGAGCTTAGCTTAAGTGAGTATGGCCCTTTTGGTTCGAAAAGGGAAACACTTGCAAAGAACAAGCACAACTGGGTTTTGTTCCACCATGTTTGCCACAATTCTTGCCCAGGGGTTCCCGTCACATCAATACGTACTTGTTGCGATCTGCAGGCCTGAGCTTCGACACGGATCGTGTGACTTTCGCAGCCTCTGATCTCAGCTCAAAGGAGTCCCCGAGGGTTTCATGAAGAAGAACACTTTGATATAAAGCGGGTACCAGCAATACCTTTGCGTTGTTGTCAGCTGTATTGAGCATGAGTTGTTCTGCAAGGGAGTGATTAATGACAACCTCCGATTAATAAACACCCCCCCCCACATGGTAGGTCAACAACGTCAAGAAGGTATGAGATACCACTCATGAGGTCCACCTCCCTTGAATTATCGGCTCAGGGAGCCATCGTAGTCGCAGCCGTCGTCGGTAGTAGGTAGTAGGTAGTAGGTAGTAGGTAGTAGTAGGTAGTAGTAGGTAGTAGGTAGTAGTAGGTAGTAGGTAGTAGGTAGTAGTAGGTAGTAGGTAGTAGTAGGTAGTAGGTAGTAGTAGGTAGTAAGTAGTAGTAGGTACTTAGTAGGTAATAGGTAGTACTAGTAGTCACAACAAGTTTAAACAAGCACAAAGAAAAGGCCAGGGACACAGGATCAAATTAATAGGGGGTAGTAGTGCGGATTATTGATGGGGGACCGGCCCTTGTGAGGGGTACCCTTTGTGAGCTTGTCAAATGATTGTTTTTAATTGTTTTTTAATAAGGCAATTTATAGGCCCTGAGCCCTAGACATTTTTAAGGATTGCATCAAACATGTAGTAGGTAGTAGGTGGTGATGGTGGTGGTGGTGGTAGCAGCAGCAATAGCTAGTAGCAGCAGCAGCATTAGCTAGCAGCAGTAACAGTAGCAGTAGCAGTAGCAGTAGCAGCAGCAGCAGCAGCAGCAGGAGCAGGAGGAGTAGGAGTAGGAGTAGTAGTAGTAGTAGTAGCAGTAGGAGTAGTGGTAGTGGTAGTGGTAGTGGTAGTGGTAGTAGTAGTAGTAGTAGCAGCAGTCCATGAGTTGATTGATGAACCTCCCTTAGTTAATGAATTAATTAAGGGAAACAATTCTTTTTTATTTCTGGCTTGTGTGGGCTCGGATTAACTGGGGGGAGTTTCTGATGCCCAACTAGAAGATTAGGGGGGGAAATAGGCACGAATAATACTTTTTAATTTGGGCAATTTTTGGTGGGCTTGTGTCTTCGGATTGGTTTATTAATCGTAACTTTGCATTACCAGCCATTCCACCAATCGAACCAGTTGAATCCGCTTGTCATCGCAGGAGTATTCCTTGGAGCTGGAGCTTGATCAGGATTACGTCTCCGCATATCCGCATTCTTCCATATTCGCAAATGCAAGTCTAATTGCCCCAGTGGGCCATGAAAGACTGTCTTGTAGTGAGTTGCAGCTTTGTCAAGATGTTCTAGTATGACTGGAGGCAAACATACGTCCAATACTTTTGGATGGACTTAATTTCAGCGGCTTCATTTAGTTTATTCCATGCCTTTGAGATATGTCAGTCAAAGATTGGAGCAGTGTCAACTACAGCAGAGGCATTTTCATTCCAGGTATGTTTAAGCAGATGCACACAAACACACAGATACACAGACCTGGTCATCAGGATATCGAACCGGACTTGTGCAAATGGGAGCGGTTCAATCCTCAGCCTGGGTCAGAAAACGGCCATCCCTAGCAAAGTCAGACAGCCACCTAGCTACGAAGCAAAAGTAAGCAAAGGTGGAGTGGTTTCGGCATAGAAAACAGACTTCTGTGTACAACTTCAGGTAATTGCACCATCAATTGGGGCTCCTAGGCTTCAGCGGAAGGATCGCTTCGGGGATGCTGCGTGGGTCCCCGGTGGCCTTAGGATGAGCATCAACGATATTGGCACCTTAATGACACTCAGCAAGGTGAGAGGCAACAGACATTTATGACTAGCATCGAGAGACTTCTTGGAACTCGGCAAAATAGAAACATGTATACAGATCTGTGTGGAATCATTGGAATGACCAAGAAAGGCCTCTATTGTGGCGGTGAGTGACATTGTGATTACACTCTGACAGGAAAGGCCCCAATGACCTCACCTGTTTTCAGTGCTTGTACCCACCACATTTGTTCCTCTCGTTTCACACGCCTTACCTGGACACTTTCATGCTCATTAGCTCGATGTCGCAGCTGGGAGAGGGGGGCTGTGCTCCACTGTGCCAAAGGTGTTGGCCACGCTGACCAAAGTGTTCCCGGCAGAGACTTGATCAGCAGTCTTCTGTTGGAGGTTTTGGGGGGTCTGACAGAAAGATCGAGCCGTGGCAACCCGGATGGACATGATAGGACACATGCAATTCTTAAGCAGTCCAGCAGTTTTTTTGGGCGGGTTGAGCCCAGCTTTGCTACTGGAAAAATTGGTGGTGCAATAGGTCGAGATAGGTCCGCTAGATAAAGACTGATATATATATATATAATTGCGAAAGCCACCCGATAGGCATGGCTGAGTTCTCAAGGGTGAAGCCAGAGCGTGGTGGAGGAGAGCGAAAAAAGAGACGGTGCAGAAGGTAGTGAACATGTATGTTTTCAGAGAATTTGTGATGCTAGTGATGCAACTGTTAAATTGTGCATCATTAGAATTAGCATCACGACATGTTCAGGAGACGTGTGAGTCGGGTAGAGGACAGGAGAGGGGAGACTGAATGACACTTGCAAGTTGCAAGCTTCACCTTTACAATACTATTCATGCGGGGTGTCCTGTTTATTCATCCCTCAAAAAAATTGAAATACAGCAGAGGGCGCCCCACAGTGAGGTGGCTGACCGGGTGTGTCAGAGAGGAGACTTTGGTCAAGGCCTTGTGTCAAATCGAGCCTCAATGTGAAGCTTTGCGTATCTCTGCCTTCTGTTTTCCCGTGGCTGACAATAGTAGAAGTAAGTGCAGCTTCGGCTTCAACCTGTAACAACAATATATTATTACAGGGCTGGCTTTCGCCCCTCCCTTCTCAGGTAAAGAAGGAAGATCAAACGGACCATCGATGTTCTCGTAAGGATGTGTGGGTGTGATCCTCTCATCAGTCTCCCAACTGCACTCTTGCTGGGTCGTGGGCCCAACCTGGTGATGCTAAGCTGGACCAAGGGAGGGAAGGACACCTTTTTGGGCTTGCTCAAAAGTCTAGAGTGAAACGCTTGACGTTGCGCAGAGCCAATGTTGCCACGTGGCCGACCCAAAACCATAGGATGGCAGCAAGGTGGCATTTGTCGTGCTGAGGGATGGTCCACGCTGGCTGTGGATCAAGGCCGCTTTCCTCGGCAGGCCAGCTAGATGGTGTTCAACCGCAGGGCAGTATCTGACTACTTCCTCCCTGGCAAAAAATCATTGCTGTGCGCACGTGAGTCACAAATCTACACAGATGGGTGAGAATACATTACAATGGATGTTGTTCTCCATTGCATGCAGACGCCTTTCATTTCCTATATGTGATTCGTCTCTCTGCCTAGTAGACTTCGAGGTGATTGATCGGGACTGGGCCCGAGATGATTTGGGTGAGAGCCATGAAGAGGCTGCGGGGGCTGTAGATGTTTCAATGGTTTCTTTTTGCGATTGTCTATCACTTGCGACGCATCACAATTTGTTGAAGCATGTCAAAGTCAGAAGCTGAGGTTGACGGCATGTGTGATGTTTCACTTGGGCCTTTCCACCATCATCCACCGTCGCACCATTTTGCCCAAAAAGACCTGCACGTGTCAGTACTTGACTGAACAGCTGTCAGGACCCCTTCTTCGAAGAGCATGCAACGTGCCCTCGGAGAGGAGCATACGACGAGCCAACCCATGTAAGTTCATGTGAACTTTCTTTGCCACGGGATGCAACGCAGCAGCTTCATGCATCATCTAATAATCAATATTCAGCTGGATGCGTCTCTTTTGAAATCTCTGACTCAGCATCATGTATGTCCAATGTACTATCTTGTAATTATATGATGACTGGATCTTGTGCTGTTTGCTGCCAACTTGCTCAAGCATTTGCCCACCGTTTGATCACGACACTTGCTGGCCATCGACTACAGCGATGCAAATATTTGTGAGGAGCTAAGTGCTAGCCGAAGGCGCATGGATGTTGTGTCAGAAACTAGACTAAGTGACTAAGCGGTGTCACACTTCTTTGACAAACATGGCTTTGTGAAGGTCAAGACCTTGACGGGCAAGACGATCACCCTCGATGTAGAGGTCGATTCGACAGACGTGTGTTCTAATTCAAAAGTACAGAGAAGTGACAACGAAGTACTTCGTTCAACTTAGAGAAGAGTTGCAACGAAGTGACTGAAGTGACTGAAGTGACTGAAGACGGCAAATTCTGAATCATCAAAAGCATTGGCATTGGAGCCTTTTGAGTGCCAAAGAGTGCATGATCAACGCGTGTGTTGCAGGCAAGTGACACGATCGACAATGTGAAGGCGGGAGTCTAGGGGAGTCTGGGCCTAGGATCTCTTGAAAATGGGGAAGTGCTGGTGTGTCGAAAGCTTTTGTGTCATAAGAGCAGCATCTCCATCCATGTTGGAGCAAGCAAATTGTACTGTGTGGGAAGACTTGATGGGAGAGCGGTGAAGCTCCCTGCCTTTTCTTTGAAGGCTAAAATCCAGGACAAGGACTGTGGGTTGCCTTTTGTTGTCAAGTTTACCAGATGAGGGGCCGGCTGGCAAGCATCGGATGCATTCATCAATTTGCCTGTGTATGATTGTGCATGGTGGTGGTCACGGCACACGTTACGAGGTGGCCTTAGTGGCCTCCAGATGGCTTGGATGAAGCCTAGCATCACTTCTGAGCTTCTGTTTTGCGGCTGTCAGGAGGGCATTCCACCTGACCAGCAGCGGCTCATTTTCGCTGGCAAACAGTTGGAGGATGGACGCACCTTGCAGCTTGTCAACTTCAACTGGTGTGTTGATGCCGGGGCTTTATTGAGCATTCTGTCAGTGGCTTTGAAGAGAGGTCGGTTAAATTGACAGATGTGAGATCCGTCCAAACACTATGTCGGAGGATGTCGGAGGTTATTTGTGGATTGGATACGGTAGTGAGAGGTCGCAGCTTGCGTCAAGAAGCCCCTAGTAGCGTCCTTGCTCCTAGTAGCGATGCCCTTTGCTCCTAGTAGCTTCTTGTTCCTAGTAGTAAGGCCAGGAGCCCCTAGTAGCGTCCTTGCTCCTAGTAGCGATGCCCTTTGCTCCTAGTAGCT